TAGGAGAAGTTGGGGAAGGAATAGTCAATTGATTGAAGAAAGGTTTGATAAAAGAAAGCAAGAAGTTGTTATTAATGGAAGCCTGTCAAACTGGATTCTTGTTACCAGTGGACTGTCTCAAGAGATCAGTGCTTGGGCCTTTGATTTTTTTATTCACATTAATTATGTTGATGTGTTATAATTAGTTGTCTTGTAGGGAGATATTAATATCACATATTTTCTTTTGAGAAAAGAAGGGTAAGAAATTAATTTATTGAATTATTTCAGGGACTGAGAAGATAAAGGCCTCTGATTTTTTTGTGCTATATTTTGAAGATAATAGGGTGAGATGACACAAGCTTTAGATTTGGGAAAGACAGACTAGGTTCCAATTTAGTCAGTTTTATTTTTTTTTCTAAAAGGGTGATTGACTTACGGAATGAGTTGCTATCAGCAATAATGAAGGCCAGTAGTTCACAGAACTTAAGAAGGGAATCAATGATTTCCTGAAAATTAAAAGAACAGGTTAAAATTTTTGCTTTTCTCCAGGGTGAGTGTCCAAGGATAGCCTTGAAGGATCAAATATTGTAATGTTATCCATGTGTTATTGTGACCAAGCATAAATAGAAGTATAATCGATGTCCTAAAGTTATTTTATGTCCTGTTGTTTCTAACCACACTAATGTAACCATCTTAAATTCAATATTTATCAAGAGAAAAATAATTTTCTGTTTGTTCTACTGAAATATTTAGTTTTGTTTGTAAGAAGCCCTTTTAAAACAGCTTAAATCTTCCATGAACTATTGTTTAATGTATGTAAACATTCTACATGTTGATAATTAGCTCTCATAATAAAAACATTTATCAGAGCATGTTAATAGTTCAAAAAGTAATATTCAAAATATAACAGTTGCTTGGAATTATTGATTTTCTATAATAAAGAAAATACACGTAATACCAGTTGGAATAACTTGTGGCACTATGGAAGTGTAATTTAATATTCAAATTGATTTAATGAGAGTTGAGTTGTCTTTTTTTTTCAACATGTAAGTGTAAGGCTTATTGCTTTTTTTTAACCTACTATGGAAAAGAAATTTAAAAAAATTGGATCTAACCAAGAAATTAAAAAAAAAATTACTGTAAGAAAACAGATTTGACACAATTCAGGTTTTATTAAATTAGTGCTTTAACTTAATTAAATTCAGCCTAGGTGTAAAAGATTATTGACTTGAGCAAATGCAAAAGCTGAAGATACAATGCTACTGTGCAAGTGATATGAACCACTTTTTTTCGATTTATTTATTATAGGAAATTTCCATAAAAAGAAGGAAACCAAGACAAATATTGACCAATGAAAATGGATACTGAAACTTGTGCAATTCACGATTCAGTGGAGAAAACAAGAAATAATGGTGCTTACGGTGTTCCAGGATTGTCAGAAATAGATCAAGGTGATGAATGTGAAGAAATAAAACTTCTTGATCCTTCCGAATCTCGAACACAACAGACACAGACAAGTTTAGAAGACTCTGAGGGAAGTTGGAACTCTGAATCTAATGTGTCACATTCTTCTACCTTAGAAAAAGAGCTACATGAGGATAGTGATATGGATAGTGAAAACTCTGTGGAATGTTTAGAGTCTGTTTCATTTGTAGATGAATCAATGGAACATACCATAGATAGTAAGACATTACCAAAGAAAGGTCGTAAGCCTCGGAGAATTGAGTTCCTACCAGCACATTTAGACTGTGAATTAATTGATGCCTTTAGAGTTGTAAGTTATTTAATGTCTGAATCAAATAAAAATATCAACTGGCCTTTTCTTGAAGCTGTCAGAGACAATGATCCAAGTTGCCCTGACTACTATGAAGTAATAGTGAAGCCAGTGTGGTTAAGTAAAGGTAACATAGACTTGCTGTATTATTTTAATTAACTGTAATATTGTGAAACATATTAATTTTACGTGATCTGTCATATAATAGGATATTTTCTATCACTTTTGTTGTTGTTGTTTTTTTATCTTGAAATTGTAAACATGAATTTGTACAACAATAATACCATATAATTTTAGAATATTCATTTAAAAATAAACACCCTTACCCTCTAAGACAACCGTGTTACCATAATATCCATAATATAATTTGGAAAGCTGCTATTACCAGGTGACGATCAGCAAATAACATTTTATTTCCATTTCTTTGACTTTTTGAAAATGGTGTATGAACTACTTTGCATAGAGCCGCAAATTTGTAAAAGCAAGTTGATACATGTAGTGTCATAATATTTACACATTAAAACATTAATGTCGCCGTTTGTTCCAGGCTTATAAATGTACAAGAATCTTTCTTTGAAAGAGTAGGGTTGGTAAATTATTTTTTTTCTTAGTTTTTGACCTTAGTTTCATTTGTCAAACCACCATCACTAGTAAAACTTCAATGAATTATCATGCAGCCATTTGTCCTGTATTTTGAAAATGCTTTGTATGCTATGTTTTGGGACATACTTAATTGCTGCATTGTCATACATTATTTGATAATAAATGAGTTTTAGGATAATTGTTATATATTTGTACTTAAACAAGCTACTTGTTACATCATTGATCATTATGTTTCTAAACGAGTTAAGATTTCTCTGCCATGAATCTATAGTAGGTGAAGAGACACGGGTAAAATATATTGTATCCATGACATTAATTTTCTTATATAATGAATGTACAGAAATGAACATTTCTTTTTCTCCAAACTGAGTTATTATGTGGACGTTGAAAAAGAAACAGTAGAAAACTGGGTTGCCAATAAAATGTTAATATATCTTGAAACAGTTATGAATTATGTAAGAAAGTTATAGAAAAATAAAAGATAATTCAATGTTAAATACCAGTACATGTAGTTTATTGAAAATTCTATTTATAACTTACCATCAATAAAAACATGCACAGAAAGTTTTTTTTTTTTCTGTTATAAATGATGAAAAACCAAATATTTTCTCTCAAACTGCTCTTGGATTATGCATACCTACCATACTGCTCCTAATTAATGCCCACTCTCTAATTATCACCCCACCTCTGGTCACAGAGATCAGTAATCAATACTGGTAACTGATAAATGTCACATAGGCCATGATTTTTTCGCCATAGCAGCAAACTTCAAAGACACTGGTGGTGCCAATCAAAGAAGGTTACACAGTACATGGCAGGACCGCTTCACAGGATTTTTTGACACTTATAAACAATGATTACAATATTTACTGCAACAGTGAGCACTGATGTTTGTAGCAGAGTTAGAAATAAATAGGATATGTTTGTTACCACTTATTATTGATATATTTATCTATAATAGAGGTATTATCATATGACTCGATTATTCTCTAATTAGTGCCCCCCTTTTGCACTTTGCAATGCCCCCGGAGGCATTAATTAAGGGCAATATGGGTACTACGGTTAATCCCTTTCCATTCCAAAATGAGCTTTTGTTTCATTGATTCCAAACAAAATTCATTAAATATGTATAAAAACCTGATTTCAGATGTTATATATATGTTATATACAGCATTTCCAAAATATATTTTTTATATAATTTTTGTTTGAAATTTGTAATTGACTGACCAAAAGAAATGCTGTTAGAGTAGCGTTTTACCAGACATAATCAGAGGATATGAATTTGTTCTGTATATAAAGTAGCTTGTACGTGTGTGTCTTTTTTGTTTGCCTCTGATGCAAATTTCCCAACTTCCTGACCTCTGATCATTATAAAACTTTTTGAGTTGTTGAATATGACCCAGAAGGATTCTAAAAACCCATTTCTTTATTGGTTTTTTCATTTTTATGAGGTTGTCGGCCACCTCACTCTCCTCCTAATGGTGGAATTTGACACACGTCATCCCACCATCCTCATAAATCCAACAATATAATTGCTATACCAGGTACAGGTATCTTGGCTAGTAGCGATATAGGAATCATTTGTGATTGAATTTGTTTTTAAGTATATATATTAATTTCGACATGTCAGATTTTTGTTGTTGTTTACCCATTTTTCATGTGTAAGAAAAACAGATAATCCCAGTGGTCTTGTTAGTGATTGATAAACAATATAAGGCTTAAAACTTCTGTATTTCTTCACTGTCAAATTTAATAGTGTAGTATTTACATGTTAATGTTGATTAATTTCATTACTACAGATTTTATGCAGATATCACACTTGATCATATGGAATAATTTTAAAATTGGTATGAAAATACAATCAATAAATCTAGTTTAGTGTTTATTGAAAATATATTATGTAAATAATCTGCATTGTTTGCATCAGTGATATTTGTTTTAACTTGATTTTACCTGTTTTCAGTGAAATTGCAGATCCTTGATGGACAATACTCAACAATAACAAATGTTGTGAGGGATTTACGACAGATGTTTGCAAATTGCTATCTTTATAACGGAGCCAGTCATCCAATTAGCAAGCGTGCATTGAAGTTGGAGACAGTGTTGGAACAAAGATTAGCTTTACTTCCTAAGTAAGAAATGTGTAACCAATTTTAATCTTGGGTTACATCTAATAAAAAAAAAGTCTTTAAAAGCACTTATAAAACACTATTTTATAGCCTAGTTAAATATAACTGAAAATTTGGTTTGATTAAAAACTCATTTATTCAAGACTTTCTCCTAAATACCAATAATATTATATTATTCTGTTTTTTATCATGTCTGAATATTTTAAGCTTTTCAAAAAGTTATTGACTTGAGTGAAACACTGAGTTCCCATTAAAGCTGAGTGATTAACTCATTCACCAATATAATTCATTACCTATAAGCATCAATTAGTGTTACAAAATTAATCAACTAGTGTTTCTGATTATTACTGTTTTCAGTTATTTCAACTATCCATTAATTGAAATATTGCCTTTATGATTTTCGATTAATTCAAGTATGTTCAGCTTAATTGATTGGCATCATAACTCACAAAAGTAATCAACTACCTGAAATTGTAGTTTCTGATTGTTGCTTTTTTTAGTTAATTCTGCTATTCAAGTAATATAAATATTATCTATTACCTTTGTGTATGGTATCAAAACTCAATTTTCATCATAATTAATTAGTTGAATGTAATCAGTTAATGAGCCCAAGAATTCCACTAATTTCCCAGCTCTAGCACTCATTTAACTTTAATACATGATCTATGATACTTTTTTTTTCCCACCTTATAATGAAAATTGTAGTTTATTTTAGTTGCCATTTGAGTTATATAAGATATATAGTAGGATTGTCATTGTGAATTTCAGACTAATTTGAATTGTGAAAGCACTTGTCAATGTGTAAACTGCGGTAGATTTAACATGATACTGTTCGTGCTAGTATCATTGGCCTATAAAAAATTGACATTTTGTTTTGCAAAATACATTTTAAATTTTCATAACTAATAAACTTAAAAGACAGTCATAGAAATCAGATGCTGTAATTCTAATCTGTTTGAGAATGACTGCTGTGAAAAAAACTTATTTGACATTGTCTTTTTCTTTCATTGCATCCATTGAAAAAAATATATACATTGTGTAAGATATTTTAAAAATCCTTATCAATGTTTTTCTTTTATGCCTACAGAGAGCTAATAGAAAAAACAAGCTTGAAAGTAACATCACCAGAGTTTGCTGAAGAAACTGTAGGGACAGGTATATATAGAATTTTTAATGACTTAAAAACTAAATTACATGGTTTTTTAAGCTTTTATTCAATTGTTTACCAGATGACTCTTAAATACATTGAAGCTGTTTCAGAAAAAAGTTTTCTCACTTTTTGTTAATAAATTATTGTTATTAAAATATGGTTATTAGATCAAAAATAGATAGAATGTTGGATGTTTTGTGTTAAGATTTCTAACATATAATTTTTTTCTTTACTACGGCATGAAACTTATAACAGATATGAAATATCTGTGAATTTGCTGAACTCCAAGCATTTCACTTGAAAATTATGGGTGAAGTTTACTAACAAAATTTCAACCATACTCACACAATTCACAAGTTGTATGCATTTAACAAACATTAGTGCTCCAAATTGGAAAGTATTCTCATTTGTATATATTTTTGCAATGAATTGAAAAAAACTGTTTCTATCATTCTATTTATGTACAATCACTGATTCAACTACAATAGCTAAACAGCATAATTTTTTGTATATCCCTATGACTACCTGCTAATAAGATTCTTAGTGGGTAACGTCACTCTCATAATATTCTGTTTCAAAAATAAAACTAGAGATTAGTGATGAGCAAAGAGTTTGTAACCTGATGAATTTGATCAATATACATTTATGTATGCACATACTTTTATGTTCTTTCAAGTTTCTTGAGGTAATTAGCTATAGGTTGTAAACATCATGAGCAAACTGTGTGACCAGAATGATTTCTGCGTGTTCAAAAGATAACTGAACTAGGCTTCACTTTTTTCACTGAGTTAGCTCTTCAAATAATTATTGAAGCTTTCAAATAAATAGTTTATAATGCAAAACATATATCATGTAATTGAAAAACATTTCCTAAACGAACTATAATTTAACTGGTGTTCTAACTAAGTAAAAAATTGGCGAAAAAAATCACTTTGCATAAAATTAAACTTCGGCCAAATATCTAATTGTGAGCAAAAAATGGACTAGCCTCCTAATAAATCTCATGAATAAATACATAATTGTAGGATACTCAGAAGATCGTATAAGGGCAGAAAGAAAATCTAAAATGGGCAATTTAGAACACTGAATGTAAATTTGTAAAAACGTTGTTTTATGCACAGTTTGACTTTTCAGTATGCAAAGAGTTAAAAAGTATAGCTGGGTGCTTAACTTTTTATTACATCAATTAATGTCACCATTAACTGATCATAATTGGTGTTTTCTTTACTGTTTTTGATTATTCAAAATATCCAGTAATTGAAATATTACCATTATGATTTTTCATTATTATATTCAATTAAATCATGTTTTGCTCAGCTTGATTGATTAGTGTCACTAGACTTAAAAATAAATCAACTAATACAAGTTACAGTATCTAATTATTCCTTTTTTTGTTATTAATCAAATTTTCCAAGTAAATGAAATATTGCCATTATGTTCAATTTGTTGTTAAACACAAAGCTACACAATGGGTTATCTGTGCTGCGCTCGTTAACTTTTTTCGGCCCCTGGAACCGACCTCTTAACCATTTTGTGCTTGTTATAGTTTTCATGCTATAACCTTTAAATTAGAAAGCAAAT